ACAGTCAAAAACAACAAACAGCCACTCAGTAAGGGGTCCCATCCATCTCAGCCCAAGGCCTGGGAGAACAGCTAAGTCTTCCAAGCTTAACTATTTACAGAATGTCACTGATATTTGTTACCATGAAGCTTCTGCTAGTGAAAGCTTAGCCAGTGGACATACTAACAAGATTCTTTGCTCCAATAGTCATAATGATGACTCCTACGTAAAAATGGGGAGGATGCTCTTTACTTAGATTATGGTAATGCAAAGATACACAATTTTTCATTGCATATAGGTAGTCCTCGACTTACAACAGTTCATTTAGTAACCGAAGTTACAAGATTGAAAAAAGTGACGTATGACTGGTTTTCACACGACTGTAACAGCATCCCCATGATCACATGATCAAAATTCAGATGCTTGGCAACTGACTCATATTTATGACAGTTGCAGTATCCTGGGATCACGTGATCACCTTGTGACCTTCAGATATGCAAAGTCAATGGGGGAAGCCAGATTCACTTAACAACCGTGTTAATAACATCTTCAGTGATTCACTTAACAACTGTGGCAAGAAAAGTCCTAAAATTGGGCAAAACTCCCTTAAGAAATGTTTCACTTACCAACAGAAATGTTGGGCTCAGTTGTGGTGGTAAGTCAAGAACTACCTATAGTCTTACTTTCTCATGCAATTCTTTCATTTGCTCACTCCTCAGTTCCAACTACAGTGATGACTATCATTCCCATACGCTTACTTTTTAATAGAATATTCCTATTAAATACTTTATTCATGTGGACCCTCCTCCTTGCACTGTATTAAGGTGTCCTTAACTCAAAATTTCTTCAAAGTAAATCAGCACGTCACATCAAAAATCAGCATGAGCAACTTTCCCAAAACATAGCATATTTCTAATGATTCCTCCGCAATTATTTATTCCTTTGCAATTATTCCTCTGCAGATATGACTGTAGCCATGTGTTCTAATCCAACAATATGTTCAAGGAGCCATGTATCATGATGGAGTGTCAAATGCAAGCATTCTGCCTTGATTCTTGGGCTACTTTTACATATTTTATTTTATTTGTTGCCTAACTCACTGTAGGGCTTATAACAATAAAAGGAAGAAATAAAAAGAGTGTAAACAGAAGATAATAGAATGATGAAATAAACAAGGAAAAAGAACACTATGAGAATAAATCAATATAATAATCAAAAATATATGCATGGTTTGAGAGAACAAGAGAAGAAGCAGAGAACAAGGATGGGATGTGGAGTCTGCCATCAATCCAGCAGCCACGTTCGATCTACATTCAGCAAGATTTGGTTTTGAGGTTGAAAAATTTGATTCTTCCAAATTCTGAAGACAGCTGCATTTATTTTTCTTGCTGTCTGCTGTGACTTGGTTTTTTTTTTTAAAAAAAATTCTGATTGAATCACTCCTACATTCACATCCATGTTGAACAGAATGCTGCTTTTGATACATGCAAATAGCTATTGTTATCAAAGATTCTGATTGCTGTGCAGATCACTATTGCTTGGAAAAGTTATTATAGCCAAGAATGTGAAGGGAATACTTAAAAGAGATTTTGGAGCAAAAGTTTTTTTATTCATTTGATCTTTACTGTTTTAGATCAGGGGTCTTCACACTTGGCCCTTTTATGACTTGTGGACTTCAACTCCCAGAATTCCTCAGCCAGGCATGTCCACAAGTCATAAAAGGGCCAAGTTTGAAGACCCCTGTTTTAGATGATTAGATCTAACTGGAGTAAATGGCCAGTTAGATCCAAAATATAATAAATACTTCCTTGAGAAAAGGACTTCCAACACCCACCTATTTCTTGAGAAACATGCTAAAATATATGATGAGACAATTCCAATCCCTTCCAAGCTATCTGAGAAAATTTGAATATATTTATAATATGGGGATAAATCTGATACAGAAACAGTCTTGGTCATGCTGAACAATAGTCTGTACTGGAAGAGGGGCAGGAAGCCCTGCTAGTTAAGATCCTTAGAGATTTGCAGAAAAGGGGAAATGTTAGTGTGAATGCCGTAATAAGCCATCATATTATGGAAGTTCTGCTGACTTTTGGGGGCCAGCTCTGTTTCAGTAGAACTAAAAGTTGGAAAGCTTTGGCTGCTTCAAGTTTCATACAGAACAAAATCTGTACTGGGCAAATTGTGTAATATTGGTGTATGCTGCACTCCCCAACTCTTAGAATAGCACACTTAACTAGTATGCCTGTCCTCCAATCTTCCTGATACCTTCTATTACCTTCCTTTATTCTGCCCAGATTTTCCTAGCACTTTCCTTTTTTCTCTCTCTTGCTGCCACCAATGCTGATGATGCAGCTTCTCCTATCTTCCTAGAACTTCCTTTTCCTTGCTTTCCTTCCTGTCTCTCCTCAGCCACCAATGTCCTTAGCTTTTCCTTAGCTCCTGCCAACTACTTTCCCTGTAACTAAACAATTCTTTAATTCCATGCATGGAGCAAAAGAAGTCTGTTTTGTTTCGTGCATGAACCAAAGCATCCAAAACAGGTGTGTTTGGGTTTGGAAACAGACCATCTGAAACCAGCTGTTCCATGCATGGAGCTGTTTGTGCATGGGATGTTTTTCACATTCCTACTTTCAGTCACAGATGGTAGATACGTGGGGCACTTTTCTGGGTTGGCAGGACAAAGTTTTAGTGATTCATAAGCCCAGAGTCGCTTCAGAGTGAGATGGGCAGAATATAAATTTAAACAAAGAAACAAACATTGTAATATTTAGCTTTGCTCCTTGGCATTTATGCATCGTTTTTGAAACATACATAAAACCACTGATTAAAGTAATTCAGGGAACTGGGGTTAAGTATTATCAGAGTTATTCCTCCTTACTATATTAGCCAGATAGTTCAGTGTACATGCTGAATGAGTATCTGGGACCTGCTACTCTAGAACAGTGGTTCCCAACCTTTCTGGCTCCAAGGATGGGTGGCGGTGGTGGGGAGGGAGGGGATAGTTTCGTGCACATAATCTAATCCCGCACATGTGAAAATGAAGTGTCATGTACTCATCTACCACTTGCGCGGCCCAGTTCCCAACAGGCCGTGGACTGGTACAGATCCACGGACCCGGGGGTTGGGGACCCCTGTTCAAGAGTAATTAATAAAACTTAATGTAGACCAAACTGAAGTAGTATTAATTCTGTTCTGTTTCGAGATTCTCTTCCTTTTGCAGGATTATTTCTGTAAAGTCAAAACTCTTTTTTCAGGGATCTTCCCAGTCTTAGTCTAACACGAATAATCTTATTATACTATTCTCTGAAGAGACAGGTTTGAAGTTTCAATAGTAATTTTAGAACCAGCTCCATGTGGATTCCATGACTTAATGTGCTTTTTATTAAATTTGATAGATGGACTGCAATTTTTCTTCAATAAGGATGACCTTAGTGAATGCACAAGTTCTAGTCACATGAAAATTAAATTACTACAACAGAGAAAAAATCATGCTTGTTCATTAGTAACATTTCAAATCTAATAAATAAGGTATTTTTTCTGAGCTCTTATTAAAAGAATTACAAAATTAAATTCCTAGATATGGAATGGAATGGCCTCTATAATCTATATCAGGGGTGTCAAACTTGCAACGTCATGTGACGTGTTGCGACATATTGTGACTTTTTTTTCCATTGACAGCAATGGGGTGGACGCGGTTTCACCATGACGTATCTGGCCTGCGGGCCTGCAGTTTGACACCCCTGATCTATATGACGCTGCTTGAAGACATTCTGGAAATTTCCATTGTTTCAAAGAAGTTGCAAATTTACTGATCGAGCCACTTCCAAAATAAAAGATTCTATATTACTGTATTTTTATTGGCTGCAGATATACAGTAGTCTGAAATTTTATTCATGATGATATCAATCGTAAAAAAAAGTAAGCGCCTTGTGTCTAGGAAGTTTCAAAATCAGATTCCTAACATCAAATATTACTTATTTTAAAAAGGTCTAAGACAACCCTTTTTCTGTTGGACTATAGTATACCAAATGCCAGACAAGTGAATGCCCTATAATTCTTTAAAAACTTTGATCTCAGTCTTCTCTAGCTGGCATGGCCAATGGCAAGGGATTAGAGAAGTAGTTGTCCAAAATATTTTATTAGATTTTTTATCTCACCTTATAGGTAACTCAAGGCAGTGAACATACATACAATTTCTTCCTTCTCCTATGTTTCTCTGTATCAACCCCTGTACTTTTGGGCTGAGAGAAAATGACTGGCTCAGTCACCCTTGGTTTTTATGCCAAGGCAGGACTAAACTCACAGTCTCTTGATTTCTAAGCCGGCACCTTAGCCACTTCACCAAATATCTGAAACTGATTACTTATTTATAATACAGAATAATATATTATATAATGATATAAGTTATATAAGTAATTTATATTACTTATTGCTGTTTTTGGATGTCTGCATAGCTTTCATTTTTAACTGTTCTGTCTTGCCTCTTTTCTCTTGCTGGCACAGTTTAAATTATTAAAGTAGTATTTCTGTTGCTCGGACTATTTGGGTTTCCACATCTGGAAGAGCAAAATATATCCATAAACGAACGGATAGCAATATCATTGTGGAACAGAAAGCGTGGAAGCGCCGTTTTTCTATCGCAAACTATGGATACTCTCTGGGCTTTCTCACACAGGACCCGGCGGACGAGAGCCCAAGCGTGAGCTTCCCCTCTTAAGGACAACAGCCATGTGTCTGCTCAAGTGTGATTAACACTCACTTGCCAAATCTCTCCTTGGGCCATTTGGAGCTTGCACGCGTCCACGCTCCCTGTTTACCCCGCTGCAGCTTTCACGCGCAGCCTTTTTGTTTACCTCTCCGGCAAACGAGATAAGGTGGCTGGGAGGCTGTTAAGCAATCGTTATAAAAACCCCTCGGGCGGCAGCCGATCCACAACCCAGCGCGGGGAGGAGAGGAAGCACAGACTGCCAGCATTTTGCCGGTGGGTTGGCTGGGCTGAGAGCGGCCAGAGTCAGAGCATGGAGACTTCGCCGCTCCGCCTTCACAATTCTCCGCCGCTTGAAACCGCCAATTCCCGGATCTGCTCCAAAGACTCTTCAGGGTAGCCGAGCTCAATCGCCGCGTAATGGGCAACCTGCGCTTAAGAGCAAGCATTGGGGCGGGGGGGGGGAGATCCCCATCTTTTCCAGCCGCTTCTTGATCGCGCGGGAAAAATGGAGCCAGCCCATCTGTGGTCCCAGGACCTGCCAGAAGCTGATTTTTTTTTTTTTTTTACTGCGCCTTATTGCCAAATGGCGGCTAACGCAGCGTGTCTAATGCATTTGCAGGTCCGAAGGATTCTGGAGACCTTGGATCCCCACCCCAAAAGATGCCGAAAGACTACGTGTGCAAAACGTTGAGGTGAGTGTATCCCGGACCCACAATTATGACAGCCCTTCCACGTGGACTTATGCTGCAGGAGCCGGTCTTCTTTAGTTGACTAATTCAGTGTTCTTTCACTTAGGAGTACGGTGAAAGGAAGGAGATGTATGGTATTAAACAATTGCCACTACTTCGAGACTAGAGATATTGGTACATTAACAATAATAAAGATCTCACTGCATTCCACAAAGGACCCTTTAAAAACAAAACAAAACTAGAAGGCTGATTTATGGAGCAAAGGATTTTCCTTACTAAATTAAATTTGCATATAGGGCTCATGTGACTGAAATATAATTCCTAAATTGATTATGTCTTTTGGCAATGTAGTATATCAATTTATGCTGGGCACTATGAAAAGGCAGAAATTTATTAATTTGTATTTTAAGATTTATGATTTGGCACAATCAGGAGAGGGAAAATAACTGCATGTTGCATTAAGGTGCTTTGGGTGCGCTGACTAAAATGAAATCCAATATTTACTTTGATATTACTGGGTGACTCTGGGTCAGTCACACTTTTTCAGCCCAGCCCACCTCACAGGATTCTGTTGAAGGAAAAAAAAACTGGAAGAAAGAGTGCCTACTTCTTGGACAAAAGGCAGGAAACAAACACATTTAATAATAATATTATTTATTTTATTACATGGTACCCAGAGTCATGTCCCTGAAATGGGTGGCTTTGATTTGATTAAAAATGGATACTTGATTTGATTAAAAAATGGATACTGTAAATATTAAATAATCAATTTCAAATTTGTTCCTTCTGAAAGTATCATAAATTTCAACCATTCTGTTGATCTTTATTTCCTTCTCCAGTTGCACAGTCCTGATGGTACAGAAGACTCTGTAAAACTCGCACAATATACTCACCCAGTGAGGTAAGATAAAACAATTTTATATTTTCCTAAAACATAATATTAGTGAGACTCTCAAGATTAATCCTTTCCATTTTTCCCAGCAGGGTTCTTGTGCCCTAAAAAGCTGCCTATTAGGGAAAAAAATCCAATAGGTAAAGCCCTCAATTGGATATATTTTCAGGTAGTAATTAATTATACAGAAAGGTGTCAAGAAAAGTGATAGGATTGTATGTAAGAGATTTATTCCGAATAGTGTCTGAAATCCCACAAAACGTATCAGGACTTAAACTAGTAGCTAGAAGGTCTCTGTGTGGCTTTAGTTCCCTCTCTCGTTCTCTCTCTCTCCTCTCTTTTTCATTCTCTCATTCTCTCGCTTACTCAGTTTCTCTCTTGTTCTCTCATTCTCTCTCTTTCTTTTGTTTTCTCTCTCTCATGCTCCCTCTCTTGTTTTATCTTGTTTTTTCTCTTTCTCATTTTCATTCTAATTTTCTTTCTTTTTCTTTCTCGTTCTCTCTTTTGTTCTCCCTCGTTTTCTCTCTCATTCTCTCTCTCTCTTTTGTTCCCTTTCTCTCTCATTCTCTCTCTCAGTCCAATCTATTTTACAGTGTTGTGTATGGAGAAATAGGAGTGCTGCTTCTGTATGAAAGGCAGAGTATAAATAGAACAAAATATAATATCAATAAATAATTAATATAGTTTTCTCAACAAGATTTCTCCATATTTTTGGCTTCTTCAACTTATTAGCCTAGCTACAGTTAAGACACTGGGCTTGTTGACCGGAAGGTTGGCAGTTCGAGACCCAGGTGCCGCGCCACAGGGTGAGTTCCTATTACTTACCCAGCTACTACCTACCTAGCAATTCAAAAGCATGTAAATGCAAGTAGATAAATAGGTACCATGTCGGTGGGAAGGTAACAGCATTCCATGTGCCTTGGTGTATAGTTATGCTGGCCACATGATCAGAGAAATGTCTTTGGATAATGCTGGCTCCCTCAGCTAGAAAATGGAGATCAGTACCGTCCCTAAAGTTGGACACAACTGATCAGAGAAAATCTTTACCTTTTTTTTAAACTATAGATAGTCCTCGACTTACAATCATTTATTTAGTGACCATTTGAAGTTACAACTGCACTGAAAAAAGTGACTTATGACCACTTTTCACACTTCATTGCAGCATCCCTATGGTCATGTGGTCAAAACTTGGGTGCTTGGCAATTGGCATGTATTTATGATGGTTGCAGTGTCCCAGGATCATGAGATCACCTTTTGTGACAATATGGAAGCTAGATTTGTTTAACAATTATAATGATACACTTAGCAATTGTGGCAAGACAAGTCATAAAATGAGGCAAAACTCATTTTTACAACTGTCTTGCTTAACAAATAAATTTTGGGCTCAATTGCGGGCGTAAGTCGAGGACTATCTGTATTCCGAAGCCTTAAGTTTTTCTCCCAGTGTCTTCCACATTTACAGTATATGTTGTTTTAATTTTGTGGTTTTAGTGATGTTCTCTTATGTCTTTATTCTTTTCAGCATATGCAATAGCAGTTACAATAGATGACTTTTCATCTGGTTTGGAGCCAACTATGTCATTTGGCAGAGTGTCTTTTGAACTAATTAGAAGACAGCAAAATATTATTATTTTATTATTTTTATACATTTATTGCCTGTGAAAGGAAGAGGCAATTAAAATACATTTATTTTTGAAATAATGTTTTTACTTTAGTATTATTAAATTTATGTGCTGCCCTTCTTGCTATCCCAAACACTCTTCTTATTTCAGAATAGACTTGAAGGATTTTCTGTCTTAAGTGCTAGAAGAGTTTAACTTGCTGTTGGGATTCTGAATTTTGACTGGGAGAGCTGTTGTTTTCTGCACACCTAAATGTCTTAGGTCTTGGTTCTACCATGTTACAAACCTGCCCTAGTAATATCTTTTTCTGCCATTTTTCTTGGATATTCCTTGCCATGTTCCTTCATCTTCACCCCAGCCTCTAAGTGAGACAGCCCAACCTCTTCCCTAGCTCAACTGGTATTACGATAGCATTTAGTCTGGCTCCCTCCAGGGACAGTCTCATTTTCAGTGTCACCCCATCGTGCCACAGACTCTGCCCCTTTTTATGCACATCCGAAAGGGGAGAGCTGGCGACTGACAATGTCATACGGCTTCCACTATTTCAGTGGAACTGTTGGATCCTACAAAGGCTTCTACCCAAACTGGCATAAAATCTGTTAAGTTTTATCGCATGACCCTGGAGGAAAACTAAGGGACACAAGCGATTGGTAAATGAAACAACAGAGCATTTAAGGTTTGCGAGCAGTTTTCGTGAATTCAACATTGTTGAATGTTAAACATTTCAACTCAGCAATGGGGAAAGACCTTAAGACTGACTCTAAAGCAGGGGTCTCCAAACTGTGGGCCACAGCCCACTACCGGGCTGCAGCCACTCGGCCACCGGGCTGCGTGAAAGGATGGCCAGTGCATGTGCACACGCAGATGCACTCATACTCCCCATTTGTGCTAGCGCTGCCCCAAGTGTCCCATCAGTGCTAGCGCCGCTCCGAGCTTGCCACCGGCTCTAGCACTGCCATGAGCATCCCGCTGGCGCTAGCACCGCCCCACCCCGAGTGTCCCACCGGTGCTAGCGTTGCCATGAGCATCCTGCCGGCGCTAGCGCAAATCTGTCCCCAAGCATCCTGCTGGCACTAGCACTGCCCCACCTGAGTGTCCCACCAGCACTAGCGCCACCCTGAGCATCCTGCCGGCACTAGTGCCACCCTGCCCCATAGTGTCCCACTGGCACTAGTGCCACTCATAGCGTCCCGCCAGTGCTAACAAAGTCTCATTTGCAGCACTCGCACCTGCGCAGGCCAGTTTGCATGTACCCATGCGCTCACATGCGGCTGTTTGCGTGTGCGCATGTGCTCACACGTGGCCCATTTGTGCACACGTGCAGCAGGCTCATTTTTGCACACGGCAGCCCATTTGTGCGCGCGCACATAGCGGTGCCTGTCTCCCTTTCCAAGCCACCAAATATAAAAGGTTGGAGACCTCTGCTCTAAAGCGGTCACCCATACTGTACTGTTTTATTTATTTATTAAATTTATATGCCACTAATCTCACTGTCAAATGACTCTGGGAGGCTTATAACTTCATTGTTTTCCTGCTCTTCCTCTGCTCACGTTGTAGCAGCTATGTCAAATTTTGAAATTATTTATTTATATGAGAGATATATTCTGCCCTTCTCACGTTTATGTACTACAGTCAAGAACAAAATCCCTAGAGCTGTTATTTGGTTGAGTTTTGCTGATTCATCCAAGGCTACATATTTCGGCAACGTTCTCTTTGGAGCTGATCACTGTACTTTCCAAACCATGGGACATGATTTTCAAAGCAATTGATAAGGAAATAGGCATCCCTGCAGCAGATGTGTCCAAATGCAGTTAATATTTTTGTGATAGCTACAGCTGCATATTGGTTATACTGTGGATCCTTACCAGATGCAGGCTGAGGACCTCAAGATACAAGGCCACTCACAGCATTTCTGTATGGTTTCTCTCTTCTTTTACAGACTTAGTCACCCTCTGCGAGAACAGTATAGGATGAATGAGAAACTGCCATGCTGCATATTTTTACTCAAAAAAAAGTGTGTTTTTTTTCTCACAGATAAGGGAATATTATCCTGTACAGAGACACTTGTTGTAAGCGACAAGGCTGAATTTTTGGTGCATTGGATTTCTGCATTGGATATAAAAACTTCTATGGAATTATTAAATGCCCCAAATTATTAAAAACTGCAGCCATAAAGTCCATACCAGATATCTTTGAATGCCATTTAATTTATGAATAACACACAATATTTTTGAATTGTGCCAGAGAAGTTGCATTTGACTGGTTACCATTTTTTTCAATAGTTGCTTGATTATGCAGGGTGATTATAAATGTGAAATGACTTAGGGCAGTGGTGGCGAACCTATGGCACGCGTGCCAGAGGCGGCACTCAGAGCCCTCTCTGTGGGCACGTACCCCATTGCCCCAGCCCCGCCTCCCCCCGCAGCCCCCTCATCAGCAGCCCCTCTGGAGGAGAATCGCCCCTGAGCAACCAAGGACATGGCAGCCGAGCAACGAGGACAAGACACTACACTCACGCCCCGTCATGTGCAGATGCTGCTGCGGGGCGCTGGCAGAGGGCATGGCTGCTGTGGCACTGCTGGGCTGCCTGGGCAATCTGGAGGCAGTGGGTGGCCCTGTGGGTGGGTGGAGGGCGGGGCAGGGCGGTTTGTGGGCATTCGGTCTCTAAAAGGTTCGCCATCACTGACTTAGGTGTTGAATAAAATCTGAACCTCATTAAACATTTATTGTGTGCTGTAATATTATTGGTCTAATCAAATGAAATTTCAATGTCTTAAATCATTGCCGTGTATCGTAAGAATAGAAATTGGGATATTAATTTGGAAAATTAAAGATTTCCCTTCAATCTGGAATTTTTCCCATAAGCATTCCTGGTTATTTGTCCTACAGTACTTCTGCAGATGTGTGTTGCTGTAATTAAATGTAGTGTGACCTTAAATGAACTTTCCATGTCTTCTTGCCTACGTGCACTTATGGTTATTTTAAAATCCGTCCAGTTTTAAAAAGAACGTTCTGTTCTTAAGTTCCTTTTGAGAAATGTTAGAATAGTTCTGTTGAATGTTCTTGAATGTGCTCAATAAAGTGGCAGTCAAAAATGAATAGTTTCAGTTTCAGAAGGTACTTTGACTTTACCATTTGTTGAAAAGGCATAGAGGTAAAATCTCAGCATTAGCAAATTCATATCCACATAAGAATAGCAGATATGTGTTTAAAGATAAATTTAGAAAATTATCATACCACAGTATATTTTATGAATGATTTATGACAGATGTTGAACGTTAATGCAAAGTTGACTTTTGTGTTTTTACAAATTAAACAGCATTTAGCTCTCCTGAGAGCATAAAGGCAATCTTTGAACAAGCTTATATATTAATTAATTCAGCATATTTGGCCTAAAAAGAAATGGATATCTCTAATTGTGTATAATTCCATTTTGTTACCAAATACTGCTAATATTAAAGAAGTGATTATTTTAAGCTACTAAGCTATTTTAAGCTAATAGTAGATTAAGTAGAATGAGATGAAGTGATTTTAATTATTCTTTACATATTAAATTACAAACTTGTCTATTTGTTTTAGGCTATTCTGGCCCAAATCCAAGTGTTTTGACTACATGTATCATGAAGCTGAAGCACTTCTGAGGAACTTTCCTGTCCAAGCCACCATTTTCTTTTACGACGAATCAGAGAACGAGGAAGATAGCGACGGCACAGACCATGAATCCGAAGCAGAAGTGGACAATTAACTGCCCTGTTTCCAAATGACCCTGTTTATATTCCTTTATTTAATATTGACATCAAAATGCAATCATAATATTTTAAGCTTATTTATATGTAAGTTATTGTGAAATTAAAATTATTATTTTTATAGTACTAATATGCGTGGGTTTTATGTCTTCTGCATAATCTCGCCTCCCTTGTCCTTCTGAAATCAATAATTTAGTTATGCCAAGGATTATGCTGTACTAATGTACTGATTCATAAAATGAAAAGATAGAAAACTGCAGGAATGGCCAGCTTAAATAGGAGTGAGAGGGTAGAAAAGATGGGTTGAGAGGTTTCATATTAGGATTCAATAGGTTTTTTTGTTTAGAAATAACAGTGATTTTTTTTTATTTATGATTTCATTATTATGCAAATCCTTTCGGAACCCTCAGCCTTGTGGTTTTTAGAGTTAACAATAGTAACATGTGAAAAGAAGGATGAAACACAAACTTCCATGTTTTACACCCAATACAAATACAGGGAGTCCTCGATTTAACGATCACAATTGAGTCCAACATTTCTGCTGCTGAACAAGGAGAATACTTAGCAACAGATGTAAAACCTCAGCATTGGCAAATTCATATGCACAAAAGAATATTGGATAATGCGTTTAAAGATAAATTTAGAAAATATTCTCCTATCACAGTATGGTTTACGAAAGATTTAAAACAGATTTTGAAGTAGAACGTTAACTCATTGTGAAAAGAGTTTTGTCCTCTTTTATGAGCTTTCTTGCCACGGTTGTTAAGTGAATCACTGCAATTGTTAACTGAGTAACACGGCTGTTCAGTGAATCTGGTTTCCCCATTGGCTTTGCTTGTCAGAAGGCTGCAAAAGGGGATCACTTGACCCTGGGAAACTGCAACTGTCGTAAGTACATGCCTGTTGCCAAGTATCCAAATTTTGATCACCTGACCATGGGAATACTGCAACAGTGTTCAGTGTGAAAGACTGTCATCAGTCACTTTTTTCAGTGCCACTGTAACTTTGAACAGTCACCGAACAAATGGTTGTAAGTTGAGAACTGCCTGTATACTCATTCTACAAACCGCCCTTTAAGTAGTCTGGTTTTTAATCTATTAAATTTGATGTTGCAATCCTGCAAGCTCTTAAATCCACTTCAGCTCAAACATGGGCATAGGACTTTAGACCAAATTGGTAACTTTTAAATTCAATGATGCCTAATTTTCCTTAGTGCTGTGGAAAATGTTTTAATTACATCATCTTTTTAAAATCTATGTACAGTATTAGTTCCACATGATGACATTTTAGAGAGAGTTCAATGGATTGAGTGGGTATTTCTCCTGCAGACATGCCTAAATATATAGCTCTGTCCAATATAACAGCTGGGCAGTGTTTCAGAATAGGAAGGAAAAATAGTGTTTGAGGAGTGTGCGAGGTCATGAACTTTGCACCTGTCGGCAGTTCCTTAGAGCAGATGCAGCTTTTCCCACGATCATGTGGCTGTTCTCCACAGGTGAAACATGATACTGTATTCAATTTAAATACTTGCGGCAAATGCTATAGAGACACTGACCATACTTCAGAACCTCTATTTTACCTTCAAATCTGAAAGTGCTGCAAAATACGGTATTGTTTCCTTCCATTTGCACTGAGATTAATAATTAACAATTGAATGCATTCTAGTCAGATTCACTTAACTGTGTTATTAACTGCAGTGATTCACTTAACTGGTAAGGAAGGTTGTAAAATGGGGCAAAATTCGGCAACAGAAATTTTGGGCTCAATTGTGGTCATAAGTTGAGGACTACCTGTACTTGTATTTCCAATATTAAAGATGAATTTTTTTTGCTTGATAATTCTGTTACAGGGATACATACATTTTGTTCAAACACATATGCACATCTTTAAATGGTATTGATCTGTGCAACACTATATTAACAAAATGGGGTTGTTAACATTAAACAAGTGCAGGGTATAATAGGAAAACCCCATATCATATAAATAAGTATCCACCAATTTTATACTTTGAACATAAGATTCATACTGAGCTCTTTTGAACTAATCTTTGGCGTGACCAATAGACTTAAATCTTTTTCTTAATTAATCTCAATATCATGATAAGAATATTCTTTAAAACCCTTAACCATTGATTTGTTAATATATTTTAGAGTTCTTGAAAATAACTAATATTTACTAATATCATCATTTTCATTCTTAAAAATACATGCAATAGATGCTGTATCCTTAGTTAGGACCATAATCATAAATCAAATATGTTTATTAAAGTACTTAAATTGCAATATTAAACAATATCCTACTAGCTTACTTAATTTTGGTTCCAGCACAAACTTTGAGTGTATATTAATTAAAATTATTACAACTAAAGCAGAAGTTGTATTTCCATTAATATATACTTAATCATGAGCTTTCTATTCTCTATAACAGTGCTTTCCAAACCTGGATATATTACCAAAAACTGGGTAAAACTGCTTTTTCTTGGGTAATAACACACATGCCCATTATCCAATTACAACAGAGATATTTAAGTAAAGAATTTCTGATAAATGGTAAAAAGAACTTTCTGATAAGCAGTTTTGGATAGGGAAATAAAGTATGGAACATTGCTCTAGATTAGGCATGTTCAACCCATGGCCCACAGGCTGCATGCAGCCCTGACAGCTAGTAATTGTAGCCCCATAAGACCCCAAACAATAAAGAAAGTTTGCTATTTATATATTATATTATATATTTTATATGGGGCCCAAGACATTTCCTCTTCACTCAATGCAGCCCAGGCAAGCCAGAAGTTGGACATGCCTGTACCTTTTTTTGAGTTTTAGAAGTTTCTTTTAAAACAGCTGTATCCACTTCAATGTTACTCAGCTTAGCAGCTATCTATTTCCTCTTTAAAGGATATCTAAGACTAAGGCCTTTTACTTTCTGCACATACACACAATATTATGGTATGGTAAGTTGGTGGCAGAACACAGTGGTTCTTAGTTGATCTTCAAATGCTGGGTCAGATCACATAGATTAGAAGACTACCAACCTCCACAGAAGTGTAGGTCAGAATATAATCAGAAAAAAGCATCCTGGAAAAAGGCAATGAAATAACACCTGATATTGTTGCCAAGAAAACTATACTGACATATGCATGAAGTTACTATTATTAGATTTTTATCCCACTTTTATATTTACATGGCAGGCCTAGAATTCAGTTTCTTGTTCTTATTAGTTATCTAACATTGCTGTCACCCAAAGCAAACATGTGATCTGATGCCAAAATAGCTACACATGCAAAAATACAATTACATACTGTACAATTCAAGTAAATCACAATATTTGAATGAGTACATCATGTAATGTCTGCTGCCCCATTCCTGCCCGTTTGCTAACAGCAAACACGTCTGAAGCTCAGCATAAGAGATTTCATTTTAGCTATTGATCCTTTGCAGCAAAAATAATCAGTTTACTCCATCCTGAAATGTCAAATAGATCAAATATATTTCCGTTACTTTGCTGTCACTGCTTTGAAAATAATGCGCAACGATTATACAGTAGCCCAAATGTTAAGTTTATTAAGACTGCCTTCCATTTATTAAATTTAAATTTATTATTTTATTTAATATTTAATTACATTTTAATTCTTAATTTATTTCCGTTGAATTACTTTCTTCCATTCAGGATGGGCTCTACATTAAGGAATCTCAAAGCCTCAAATATGATATACAGTTACAGAGGTTAAAAATGATTTCACATTAAAAATGCAAACACATTCTCCTATTTCGTTCAAAGCCACCCGCTGACATCTAAAAGAAAGCAGAAGCGGGTAGCGCGCAGCAAGCACGCAACCGGCAGGGGCGAGAATGTGAACTAAACGGAAGGCGACTTTCCTGCGCAGCAGCAAACGCCGCCGACACCTTTTCCTCACGTCAATCAATGAACAAACTCAAGCGCGCGCCCTATCGGGGCGCAAGAGTGGCTGCCACCAGAAACAGCTCGCGCGTACTACTGGCGCGCGCCTGCGCACTCTCCACCCCGCCTCTACTCGGGGATACTTTCACAGCAGGCCGAACCCGGAAGCGGTTTAAGCTCTCTCCGGCTCCGTTTTCCATACAGGGAAGTGGAGGATTGTCGGCCTCCCGTCTGATTGCAGCGGGAAGATGCTGAACGTGCCTTCTCAGTCTTTTCCTGCCCCCGACTCACAGCAGCGGGTGGCCCTCGCGGGACGCAGCAAGGTGCGGGTCTGCATAGCGGCTTTGGAGTCCCCTACTTGGTGGGCTGCTCTGTGTCACGTCCCACGAGAGTCTGGGTAGTGGTGGTGTCGGGTGGATTTGCGGAGCAGCGCCTGTAGAAGTGAAGTGGGGAAGGAGGGCTGTTGTAAATCACCAGGTGGCGCGATTTGTAGCGGGAGGCGTCGCACCTGTTTAACCTCTGCCTGCCGTGGACAAATGGTCCAACGGAAAAATCGTGTTGGCCAATTAAGCAGAGAAGTTTCTTATATAGCTATGTTGGCTTCTTAATGGTGTGTGCTTTTTGTCGATCACAGAGATACAAAATATTCGCTCAGATTCATTATGTGTAACTTTTCTTGTGGCACTTAGAACTAAAGAGAAATTGTATTTACTGTATAGTGGGGTATGTAAATGTAGAGGGGAAAGAGCTAGACTGTTAGTTGAAAAATAATTGTGAATCACAAAAGAATAACTGGTGTGCTAATCAGCAGTGGAATGGCAGCATTGGTGAGGCACTAGAGCAGTGGTTCTCAACCTTTTTAATGCCGCGATCCCAACTGGTCGTAAGTCGAGGACTAAACCGGTCGTAAGTTGAGGACTAAACCGGTCGCAAGTCGAGGACTACCCAACCGGTCATAAGTCGAGGACTTTCCCTGCCCGGGAGCGCCGCGCATGCATGGTTCCGCCCCCTGCGCCGGCCGAGGCGTAGCTGGCAAGCGGCAGAGACGGAGCAGGCCGACCACCAGCTGGCCCAGCCCAAGGGAGGTAAGGCACCCGCCGGAAAAGGGAAAAAAATGGCGAACAAAAAAATGGCGGACAAAAAAATGGCGGACAGCCTTGCTTGGCGACCCCCGTGAAATGGTCGATCGACCCCAAATGGGGTCCCGACCCACAGGTTGAGAACCACTGCACTAGAGGGTATGGTACCATGTCCTTTAGGATGGAAGAAGTTGTGAAAATCTGGCAGCAGATCCTTACTTGTGACATTTAGTGGCAGTGGATTTTTTTTTTTAAAAATGCAGGCTGTACAAGGCTGCCTGATATGCCACATGTCCAAGCACGCGTTGTCTATTTTATTTATTTTGCCAATGTTCTTTTTTTCTCTCTCCTCTTTTTAGGTACCTTTGAAATCAGGTCGAAGTCTTATGGACTGGATACGGTTAACCAAAAGTGGAAAAGATCTAACTGGTCTAAAAGGGAGATTATTAGAAGTTACTGAAGAAGAGCTTATGAAACATAATAAAAGGGATGACTGTTGGATATGTATTAGAGGTGGGTTGTTCTGTTGCCAGTTCTTATAAATACTGTTAGTTGTCCACTGATATAGGATAATAAATCTTAGGGGCAACTAATTTGAAAAAAATATGAGGAATAGAGGCTTTTAAACAAGGTGTATTTTATGCATAGCTAATAAAACATCCTAGCATTTGCTACACAATCCCATGAGATATCCTTTGCAAAACTTATTTCTGTCTTTAGAAATATTCACAAGATCTACTTTGTAGGGTTGTGCATACTTTTCAAATGATTCAGAAGTGATTCAGTCCTTTGTGAGTAGTGTGAAGCTCCAAACAGTCTCAATTTGGGGACAGATCTGCACTAGCCTGTCAATATAGATAATGTTGCTTTCAGAACTGTATTTTTAATAAATTGATTCTTTAAAGAAACTTTTTTTTCAAGCTCTTGCACAAGCTTGAAAAAAAGGAACTGTTTTAATGAAAAAAGAGATGTGGTTTGCTCAATTCATGGACATCCTGTTTTTTGCTAACCATATTTTTTTCTGTTCCTTTTGAATTCCCTGTCTGAGAAATTGAATTTAGCATACATACTGTTGGTTTTGGTGCTTGAGTTCTTACATGTTTGCCTGTCTGGCTTATATCATATATCATCTAATGTCCTATAAAATATAAAACATAAGTGTAATGAGAAAGATGGTAATATCACTTAGAATTTTTGGGGGGATGAAGGAAGAGCAGATCTTTTTTATTAGATTGAAACCCTACCTTTCATTCAGAAACAATAGATGGCACACATAATGTTTCATATTTTTCCCATAATAACCATGAGATAGGATGGGGTCAGAGACACTCAGGGACCTTCTGTGCAGAATATGCAATCAAAATAATCTCTGAATTACAGGATCAGTTGCAGCACTGATAACAATATAATTAAAATACACAGAGATAGCTGCACCTAGTGAATTGCCGCGATGAAAAATCTGTTGATAAAGCTGTATGATGGTAAAGTACTGAATCCTAGATAAACAGCAACATACATTGAACATTTCTTGTTTTTTCTTGAATTATTCAATCATTTATTTAAGTAGTTAGAATATTTCCTATGATATCCTTGGTGGTCTCTGAGTTTGGTTGTTTGGTGGCAGACATTTCATTACCTGAATAGGTAACATGAACACTGCTAGTGAGTGTGGAGTTTGCTCATAGTTCCTTTCAAGCATTTGCCAGAATGTGTGGAGAGTTCAAAATAGGAAGAGAACAGGAGTGTACATAGTTGTCAGCTGCTTATGGATCATGTGGAGAATTGTGCTGGTGATCAAGTTGTCACAAAATCTTTTCAGCTCTCTGATTATATTCCATATGCCAGTGATGGCAAACCTTTTAGAGACCAAGTGCCCAAACTGCAACCCAAAACCCACTTATGTATCGTTGGGTGCCGGGCGGGCGTGGCCCATTGGGTGGGTGTGGCCCATTGGGTGGGCGTGGTTTCGATGATAACGGCAGACTGGATGGGATTAAAAAGTTCAATCAATCAATTCCAACTTTGCGAGATTTTTTTTTTCCGCAAGAAGTTGAAATTGATTGATTGAACCTTTTTTTTTTGCATACGGCGGCGGAGGCCTAAAGCGAAAAGGTTTTATAAAACCCAGCTGAAGGCCTAGGACTGGGGCGAGGGTGTGCGTGCCCACAGAGAAGGCTCTGCGTGCCACCTGTGGCACACGTGCCATAGGTTCGCCACCACAGCCATATGCAGTTTGCAGCCTTCAGGTAAAAACACGAAAAGGCTTGCAGTGCATATTGCTCGGATGAGGTCAGCTGAAGTGAATTTCAGCTTTTAAATTTTTTAGAATGTGGAAATTTCCTTGATTTCTGTTTGCCAGAAAAGGAGCCAAACTGAAGAAGAAAGGACATAGGACATTATCTGTGCAAATATGCAGCCGATACTATTCACCATTATTTTCTTTTATTATCTATCAGTAAACAATATTTTGATCTTTTAACCAACATAAAATAAAATTGTACTAAAACATTATTTATTTATTTATTTATTTATTTATTTATTTAAACTTGTATGCTGCCCATCTCTCCAAAGGCAAATCTACAGTAGGATTAGCTGTAGGATTAATGATTATAATTTAAGAATGACCTCTATTTGTAAATTATATAGATACCAGCCATGAGATCGTGAAATAGTTTTTATATTCTCTATCATTATGAAATTACTATTGAACGTAAATCTATAAAAATATAAAACTTTATAAGATTAAAATTATGAAATTCAAATTAAATATATCAAGCATATTTATCACAATACAGGCAGTCCTCTGTATTAGGAATTATTGTACCGTATTATTCCTGTTTGGTAGAGGAATTTCTGCATAGGGCAGGGGTAGGCAACCTTGGCTCTTTTATGACTCGTGGACTTCAACTCCCAGAATTCCTGAGCCAGCTATTCTGGGAGTTGAAGTCCACGAGTCATAAAAGAGCCAAGGTTGCCTACCCCTGGCATAGGGTTATCAAGTGAAGATGCTTTGCCTATATGTGTTCACTTATGTGTGTGACAATTTTTTTTTTCTTGAACAGACAGGGACACAAGGTACACTGAAACGTTCTGATGCTTTATGATGAAAGAGGTGATAAAATTAATTTGTCAGCACAGAAAAGTAAATGAAGCTAACCTTAAAAGATAATGTATAATGTTAATGTAAGCCGTTTTATATGCAGTATAAATATTTTTCACTAGATGGCATTCCTAGTACAAATAGCAAAAAAAGCAAATACTATATAACCATAATCTATAATATTTTTGTCAGCCTAGGAAACAGGGATATTTTGCCAATTTATCTTCCACTGTTGTTTTCAGACTTAGTTCACTAGGAGATCGTTCTATTTTTTTTTGTTTTTGTTTCTTGTGTTGTATTGTTCCATTTTATTGTGTGCTGTATGCAGAGCCCAGAGATTACTTGGAAATGAACTGTGGCTTAATATTTTTTAAAAAATAAATAATAAACGTATACATGATTATGGTTATTTACCTGCTTGAGGTCCATTGTCATAGATGAAATGTTTTGAAAACTATTTTTAGAA